AGCAGCAGTCGCGCGACCAGCAGCGGCAGCAGCAGGCGGAGGAGGGCGACGGGGAGGCGTCGGCGGAGGCGCTGGTGAGCAGCGTGGCGTTGTGGCTGCTCGCCGTCATGGCGTCGCACGACCACCCCACGCGCGCGCTCGTCGCCGCCGCGGGCGCCGTCGACGTGTTGGTGGACCGCCTCTCCGCGCTGTCGGGGGAGGGGGATGACGCGGACGACCTGGGGATGGATGGGGACGGCGCGGAAGGGGGGGACAGCGGGGGGCCGTGGGTGTGCGCGTTGCTGCTGGCGGTGCTGTTCTGCAACCGCGACGTCGTGCGCTCGCCCGTCGCGCTGAGGGCCATTCCGCCGCTCGCCTCGCTGCTCACCTCGCCCGACCCCTCGCAGCGCTACTTCGCCTCGCAGGCCGTCGCGTCGCTCGTGGCGAGCGGCAGTCGCGGCACGCTGCTCGCCATCGCCAACAGCGGCGCCATCCCGCTGCTGCTCGCGCTGCTGGGCCGCGCGGAGGCGGACGTGGCGCACCTGCGCGCGCTGGCGGACGACTTCGAGCTGGCGGGCAGTCCGGAGCAGGTGGCGCTGGAGAAGCTCTTCCGCTGCGACGACATCCGCGCGGGCCGCCACGGCAGCGTGGTGGTGCCGCAGCTGATCGCGCTGCTCACGCCCAACGCCGACCAGCCCAGCGCGCCCGCCGTCGCCATCGGCCTGCTCACGCAGCTGGCGGCCGGCAGCAGCGCGAACCGCGTGGCCATGGTGGACTATTGCATCCTCGAGGCGCTCACCACGTACCTCACTCTAGGGCCACAGGTAAGCCGCGCGCCCCCGCCCTTGCATCACTCCGCCCAGCTGCTGCATGCGCACCACCCCATCCCTCATCCCCCAATACCCGTCCAACCCCACGTGCCCGGACTTCTTCCCCCTCCCCCGAGCAGGAGGCGATGGAGGCGGCGGCGGTGGAGCTGCTGCGGGTGCTCTTCCAGGCGGACGACCTGCGCGTGCATGCCGCCGCGCCCGCCGCCATGGACCAGCTCGTCGCCGTGCTCCGGGTGGGTTCGCGCGCCGCTCGCCTGCCGGCAGCAGCGGCGCTGGAGGCGCTGTTCGCCGTGGACGCGCACCGCGCGAGCGACGCGGCGCTGCAGGCGCTGCAACCACTCGTCGACATGCTGGGCAGCGGGGCTGGCGCGGAGGCTGCTGGCGGGGCTGCTGGCGGCGGCGCTGTGGAGGCGGAGCAGCGGGCGGCAGCGGCGGCGCTGTGCCAGCTGGCGCAGGGCAACGTGGGGCGCGTGCTGCAGGCGTGCGAGGACGGCGGCATCCCCCTCATGGCCACCATCCAGCGCCTGCTCGAGGCGCCCGACAAGCCGCCTGCTGGCGGCGGCAGCGGCGGGTACGACAAGGCGGGGGCGGAGGTGAAGGCGACGGCGGTGGAGCTGCTGCAGACGCTCTTCTCCTTCCCGCGCGTGCGCTCCGGCCCCGTGGCCGCCGCGCTGATCCCGCCGCTGGTGGTGCTGCTGCTGCACCCGTCGCCGTCGCTGCAGTACCGCGCGACGGGCGCCGTGGACGCGGTGATGGACGACGAGCAGCAGGCCAACGTGGTGGCCTCCTGCAGCGCCGTGGCGCCGCTGGTGAGCCTGCTGGAGGGCGAGCGGCACGGGCTGCACGCGGCGGCTTGCAGTGCGCTGTTCAAGCTGGCCAAGGACCGGCGGCAGTGCAAGCTGGACATGGCGGCGGCGGGGGTCATCGAGCGCATCATCGCCATCTTCCCCTCCGCGCCCCTCGCGCTCTGCGCGCTGCTGGCGGAGCTGCTGCGCGTGCTGACCAACAACTCCACCATCGCCAAGGGCGCCGCCGCCGCGCGCCTGGTGGGGCCGGTGTTGGCCATGCTGCGGCACGCGGAGCTGTCCCCCGCGGCGCAGACGAGTGCGCTGCAGGCGCTGGTGAACGTGCTGGAGAAGCCCGGGCGGCTGGAGGCCCTGGACGTGCCGCCCAGCGACGCCATGGAGCCGCTCGTGCCGCTGCTGCTCTCGCCGTCGCTCGTGGTGGCGCAGCTGGCGGCGGGGCTGCTGGCGCACGTGCTCACGCTGGAGGCCTTCCAAAGCGATGGCATCACCGCCGCTGCTGCCGCCCCGCTGGTGCGGCTGCTGGGCAGCGAGTTGGAGTCGCTGCGCACGGAGGCGCTCAAGGCGCTGGAGCTGGTGTCGGCGTGCTGGCCGGGCGCCATCGTGGAGGCGGGCGGCATCGACGAGCTGTCGCGCCTGGTGGCCACGGCGCCGCACCCCATGTGGCAGATGGCGGCCACCGTGCTGGCCAACGTGCTGCGCGCGCATGACAAGTGCGCGGCGCAGGTGCCCGTGCCCGTGCTCGTGCGCCTGCTCATGGCCAACACGGAGCCCGTGCAGGTGGTGGCGCTGTCCGCGCTGCTGGCGCTGGAGCGCGAGGACCCGGCGCGGGGGGACGAGATGGCGCGCATGGGCGTGGTGGACGCGCTGCTGGAGCTGCTGCGCTGCCACCAGGTGGAGGAGGCGGCGGCGCGCCTGCTGGAGGCCATCTTCAACAACGCGCGCGTGCGCGACTCGCAGACGGCGCTGCGCTCCATCGCGCCGCTGGCGTCGTACCTGCTGGACCCCAACTCCACCGACCCCAACGCCAAGCTGCTCGCCGCGCTCGCGCTCGGCGACCTGTTCCAGGAGACCAGCGTCGCGCTCAAGACCGTCGACCTCACGGGCGCGTGCCGCGCGCTGGTGGCGCTGATGGCGGAGCGCGCGAGTGAGGACCTGGTGATGGTGGCGCTGTGCGGGCTGCAGAACCTGGTGGCGTCGTCGCGCGCCAACAAGCGCGCCGTGGCGGACGCGGGCGGGTTCGGCGTGCTGGTGGAGCTGCTGACAGGCGGGTCGGCGGAAGTAACCTCTCAGGCGGCGAACCTGCTGCGGCTGATGCTGAACAACCACACGGTGCAGGAGTACGCCACGCCCGAGCTCGTCTCCTCCATGACGGGCGTCATCGAGCGCGAGCTGTGGAAGACGGCGAGCGTGAACGAGGAGGTGCTGCAGGCCATCGAGGGGCTGCTCGCCACGTTCTCACGGCTGCGCTTCAGCGAGTGCGCGACGGCGGCCATCCCGGTGCTGGTGGGCGCCATGAAGGTGGGCAGCGAGGTGGCGCAGGAGACGGCGCTGAACGTGCTGTGGCTGCTGCGGCAGGGGTGGGCGCAGAGCAAGGAGATGGCGCGCCTGCAGTCCATCGCCATGGGCGACACCATCCCCGTGCTGCAGCTCATGCTGCGGTCGGGCCCCATCAACCTGTACGAGAAGGCCGAGACGCTGCTGTCCGTGCTGCCGGGCAGCCTGTCGGTGTGTGTGAAGCGCGGCGCCAACCTCAAGGCGTCCATGGGCGCCACCAACGCCTACTGCAAACTCACCCTCGCCGACACCCCCGCCAAGGTCACCAAGGTCAGTCACAGTCACTGCACTGCATGCAGGCGCACGCTCAGGGGCAGTGGTTGGGGCTCAAGGGGGTGGGGATGGTGGTGCGAGTGGATGGGTGATGGCTGGCACATGAATTGAGAGATGGTTGGTTCTGGGGCAATTACAACGTCTACAATAGGTGCACTGTAATCAGCAATTGTATCCCCTGTCTTAGCTTTTTGGCTGGTGTCATGTGTGCCATGTAATGTCGTGTGTGGTTATCAATGGTGTGCCTCCTGGTGCGTTTCATGGAATGGTGTGTGCTGTTTGTGCGCATGGCATGGCATGGCATGGCATGGCAGGTGGTGAGCGGCACGTGTGACCCCGAGTGGAAGCAGACCTTCACATGGCCGCTGGACGCCCCGCCACGAGGCCAGAACCTCCACATCTCGTGCAAGAACAAGGGCACCATCGGCACCGTGAGTCCATGGCTTCTCTACTCGTCCCCTGCCTCGGTGTGTGCTGCTCCACTTGTGTCCTGTTCTCAGCATGTTCGATTTCTCATTCCCTTGAGTTCTTGCGGTGTGTTGGCGTGCTGTGTGTGTGTGTGTGCGGTGGCAGAGCTCACTGGGCAAGGTGACGATACAGATAGACCGGGTGGTGGCGCTGGGGATGGTGTCGGGGACGTACGTGCTGCAGCCAGAGGGCAACCGAGATGGCACCCAGCGCACCATCGATGTCGACTTCATCTGGTCCAACCGCTGATCATCGGCCCTACACCATGCCCATGCCCATGCCCATGCCCATGCCCATGCCCATGCCCATGCCCATGCCCATGCCCATGCCGCCACTCCCCCTTCCATGCAACCCAACCCGCTCGCTCATCCTGCCTGCCACCACCCACCTGCTGCTGATGCTATTTCCAATTGTGACCCTTGGGGTGGCCTCCAGCAGCAGATGCGACCAGCGCTGCATCCCAGAGTCTAACTTCTGCCAGTCTCCTTCCCCCCCTGCCCACCACTGCCTGCTCGCTGCCCCCAACCCAACAACACTGGAGCTGCTTCCAAGCATGCGTGTGTCTATAAGGCGCTATACTGCCATGCAAATGTATACCGACCCTGCTGTGCCACCATGGTGCAGCATGGTGCAGCATCAAGAGCCTGAGCCACAAATACCGGCCGTGGGTGTAGCCAGAGGGGCTCATGCTGGCCACACGGCACAAGAGAGGGCAACCAAGCTTGTAGTCAGTTTGTAGACGCCCTCCCGGGCTACCATTAGCACTCATGCACCCTGTGCATCCCTCTGTGGATCCCATGTAGTAACAGGGCATGACATGAGTTTTAGTCAAGAGTAGTTTAGTGAGGTTCCTGGGTTTATCAAGAATGATTGAATTGCCTGCCACTGGCAGGAACATGTGGAGATTTATATGCCTCATTTGAGCTATACTGAGCAGGTGCACTTCATTGCGCTGCAGCTAGTGAGACTCATCTAGGAAGATGGAATGGTACATGCTAACACTTGCAGAGCTACATTGTAAACCTAACTAAAGAAAGGCATTGTCGTGGAGTAGGAGATGGAACCGGCTGGTGGTCAGGAGCCCATGGGCTCAACTGGAAAAAGTAGTACCGTCACCTGCAGCGAGCATGGAGCATGAAGGGCAATGTGCGAATAGGAAGGGTGGTGCAGGCAGGATGAGGGAGAGGTGCGGCACACAGACGAATGCGCCGTTGGGGCTAAGGGGGTTCAAACCAGAAGTGGTTGGATGTAGCCAGCCCTGGCCTTTAGATTCGGCATGCATCAGCCTGTGTGTGTGGCACATGCAGCCAGGACCTGACCTGACCGCACTGTGCAAGCTGCAAGGACTGACACAAACCCACCCACCGTGCAGTGAGGAGAGAGCGAGCAGCTGACCTGCACGGTGGAGAAGGCGAGCAGAGGGGAGGCCACAGTGCCCCCCAGCAAACGGCCGTCGGCGCCAACAAGAGTGACAGTGAGCCCTCCCATGCGGCTGGAGGCATCGGCGGGGTTGTTGGGCACGTATGAGCCCGACAGCGACACCACGCTCAATGCTCCCTGCATGCATGCATGCACGCACACAAGCCACACTCAACACCAATTGCTTCTTGCCTCAACTTCTCTCTCCGTCTCAACCCCCAAAACCACACCGGAAAAGCACATGTAACCACCCACGTCATGCATGGCAATTTCTATCACCCACCGCATGTGGTGCGGTCCTATGACCCGCCCCATGCTGTGTGCTGCTACGACCCACCGCATGTGGCGTGGCAGGCAGGGCAGTGACACCGTCAGAGAGGGAGGGCGGGAGCACGGAGCCATTGGCGGACAGCACACACACCGCCTTGCCCTCCTCACACGACAGCATGAATATCCGCGCCGCTACGTCCTGTGCCCCGCCCATGGGAGGGCACACGCAGGGGAGGACACACAGAGGGGAGCACACACGCAGGGGAGCACACCCGCAGGGGAGCACACACGCAGGGGAGCACACCCGCAGGGGAGCACACACGCAGGGGAGGACGAGTGATAGAGGCACGGTGGACACAGGCATGGCAGGCAACTTCATCCCCGCGTCTCTACGCCCCTCCCCTCCCACTCACTTTCCACTGCGCTATCCTCCCTCCTTCCTACGATGAAATCTGCTGCTGCCCTGTTCCTCTGGTACACATAGGCTAGCTGCCCTTCCCATTCCCGAGTAAAAAAAAAGGTGAGCATGAACGGAGAGGCAGTGACTTAGAGAGGCAAAGAGTGATCTAACAAGGCATTCTCAACAGCAATTCGGGGAAAGTCCAACCACGCCTCGATCCCCACCTCTCTCATACCTCGCCACTTGGAACCAGGAGGACTCTCGGCTCCAGCGCTGCACACGGGGCAAGCAGGAGAGCACAGGGAGCAGAGAGCGGGAGCAGGCATGAAGCTGCCGCACTGGGGAGCAGCCGCCACCGCAAGACGGCAGTCAAAGCAGAGAGGTTGGCAAGCAGCAAGGCGAGCAAGCAGCAAGGCCGGGGGTGGGAGGGGCGCACGCACAGCTGGAGCTGGCAGGAGACTCGCTCTGTGTGCCCGTGCGGCCCAACGGCCCACCGGGGTTTCGTCTGGGCACGCTCGGGTCTCGAGGCGGCCGTCCCGGTTTTCGCTTGGGTGAAGTTGAGTCACTCGGCGGCCGCCCTGGCGATCTCTTCGGCAACGTCGGGTCTTTCGGCGGCCGTCCCGGGCCCCGCTTCGGCAAGCTCGGGTACTCCAGCGCCCGCCCGCCCTGCACCTCCTGCACCTCCTGCACTCCCGAGTCCTTGCGCGGCCGCCCGCGCCCGCGCTTTGGAAGCGTGGGTTCCTTGGGCGGGTGTTTGCGCGGGCGGCCTCGCGGGCGCTTCATGGTTGGCGGGGCTTGCGACTCTGGTGGCGGCGAAAACACGGTCACCGTCGACATGCAGCTCACTGACTAGCGGGCTAATCCCGTTAGAATCACACGCAACGACAAACTGAGCTTAATACTGTCACTGCCAGTGCCTTGCACCTCGTCTGCACTACTTGTACAGTCTAACAGGCCATGGCCGAACCTCAACCACCACGCTGTTACTGACTCGCCGCGTTCCGAACCTTGGAAGCCAGAGACAACACCACGCTCTAATATTGTTTTACGAGTACTTGTTTTCTGCCTCCACGCATCCCATCACGAATGTTCGAAAAAAACTCAGGGATATATGTAGATAGTAGGCTTCCCAATACTATTATCACAGCTTCAAACAAAACATTCGTTATCGGGTTTGGTTCTGGTTGGGAAACTCATCTCAAGTGTTTTTGGGGAACCCTGCCTGATCCGAGTTGACCCAGGTTCACCCTGCCAAAGCAGCGGGTCAGGGATGGCATCCTCCTGGTAATCCCTATATAGTCCGAATCCCTATTAACTTATGAAATCCAGACAGCATTTGCCCCATCGACAGGGCTGGGTCCAGGCATTCGAATACTGTATTTCTGTACAGTAGGTATGTCACGTGGTGACACAGCGCCCAACTCCAGGTGTGCTGGTTGTGGTACTGTACGGTGTATTGCAGTAGCAAGCAGAATAAACCGCACCAAAACAAGAGAAGTGCCCGAGGGCGCGTTCCTGACGCGTGTCAAGCTTCCGGTCACCGCGTATGACCGGAAGTTAGACCCACTTTGGGTCATCCGAGACCAACTTCGGGTCTTCTGGCCAAAAATTGCCCCTGTTTCCAGAAAACACAAAGTTTGACAGGAACTTTAACCCAAAGCTTCGGGTCTTCCCGGGAAGGCCCGAAGCTTGACATCAGCCAGGAACACACCCCAAGTCAGGCTGCACTGCACTGCCATGCCAAGCCAACCTCACCAGCAGAGGGAGAGACTGACCATTCACCAGGCCAAACGAAAGGCAGCTTGGCTCGGGGACGCGGGGGACCGAGGGGATGACGGATGGACGGTGGGGTGGGATGGGATTTGGCGCCAGTCAACGCTGCCCTCCAGAGGAGAGGACAACCAAGCTAGATCGGGTGAAGCCACCCACCAGCAAGGAAGCTTTCTTGATGAATGGTTGGTTGGTGTTACCTACTCTCCAAGCGAATACGTCGGACACGTTCTTTCTGGTAGACACTCTGCTAGAGATCATTTCTTCGTTGAGCACACGTAGACTTAGCGAGCAGCCGCGTTCCGTGAAGACGTCATGCAGTTCCAGCAATCGGACTTCTCCCAGCTTCAGCAAGCGCAGGAAGACCAATTTAGGGTTCCGCTCAATGCGGGTATCGAGCCATCCTTCAGGGCGGACCAGTTCCCAGCAGATCGCGGCAACGCCGCGGCATTCTTACCGCCGAGTGCGGCGGACCTCTCGCAGCTGCCTGGGGGCGCCATGGATTTCGCGTCGTTGCCAGGCGAGCCCGCATGGCCGCTTGGGGCTCGCGATGGGCTCTGGTTCCCCGAAGCGTCACAGTTAGTCGCTCCGCCCGCCGACGCTGCTGCGACGAATGAGTTTGGCGGGGCCGCTGGTGGCGGCGCTGTGAGCATGGACAGCGGCGACGTGGCGGCGTCGGGCGTGTCGCGGGACTTGCTGCTGCAGCTGCTGTCGGCGGGTCTCGACATGCCCTCGCTGCAGGCCATGCTCGCCGCGCTCGACGCCCCCCCCACCGCCACCACCACCGCCACCGGCACCACCACCACCACCATCCCGCTCGCCACGTCGTCACCACTCGAGTCGCAGCCGCCGCTGCCGGCCCAGGTGGCTGCAGAGAACACGGCGCAGCTGTTCGCAGCAGGCGCGGCTGCGGCGGCGGAGCACACGATGGGTGGATTCAACGGCTCTGCGCCGCCGGGAAGCGGCCGCGCCACCCTGAGCCAGAGCCACAGCCTGGACGGTCGGTCTGCGCTTCCGCCTGTCTCGCCGCAAGTCAACGCGCGATCTCGACCGCAGCTCATGGCGGGCGAGCGCCCCGTGCCGCTGCTGGGGTCCGCCGCGCACGGCGCGCAGTCGAGCCTGCGCTCCCGGCGGGGCCTGCCCGACCTCTCGAGCTCGCTGGCCAACGCGCGGCCCTCCGCCGTCTCCCGCCTCGCCGCTGCCACCGGCGGCAATCCCCCCTCCAGCACGGGCAAGCGTGAGGCCGAGGCGGGCATGACGGGCGGCGCAGCGCGGTGGCCGCTGTCGCCCGCGCTCAAGAGTCCGCGATCCGACGGGTACCGTAGTCCCGGCGGCAGCCGCGTTCTGTCCGCCGTAGCCGCCAGCCCCACCGCGCTCGCGAACGACATGGCGCAGCTGCGCGTGCGCTCGCTGCCCACCACTCCGCTAGGCGGGGCTGCGCCCTTGCCGCTGGGGTCGGCGCGCGGCGGAGTGGGAGGAGGCGTGCGATCCGCGGAGTCGGGAGGCAGAGGGTCGCACTCGAGAGGGTCGAGCGGCGAGCAGGGCTACGAGGTGGCGTCGGCGGGCGGGCAGGACGGAGCAGCGCGGGACGGGCAGGAGGGCAGCATGGAAGTGGGCGCGGCGCACATGGAGGAGGGCGGGGCGGCAGCAGGGATGGTTGAGGGAGCGGAGGGAGCGGGAGGGGGAGACGAGCTGTACGGCGGCGATGGGTTTGGGCTGGACGAGGGGGGGGAGGAGGAAGCGGATGGGGAGGGCGGCAAGGGGGCGGGCGGGGGTAAGGGGCGGGGCCGGCACTCCACGAAGCCGCGCAGCGTGGCGGAGCGCATGCGGCGCGAGCGCATATCGGTGCGGCTGAAGCGGCTGAAGGACGTGATGCCGCGCACGGACGCACGCACGGACACGTCCGCCATGCTGGACGACGCCGTGGTGTACATCCGCTCGCTGCAGATGCGCTGCGCTGCCCTCGAGACCCAGAACGCCGTGCTCGCCAAACAGCTCGCTGACGCCGCCCGCACCCGCGAGCACGTCCCACAATAGTGCCCTCTCTTGCTGCTGCGTGCAGCCATCACTGCCTCATCCACGGCCTGCCTCGCTTCTTAGAGTAGGGTAGGGGCATCCGGCCACCGCTGACCTGCTGACCACCCGAAGCTACTGCTTGCATATGAGGGCATTCTATTCGCACTCTTGTATATTCAGAACCTTTTCAACAGCTCGACCTCTCCATTCGTAAAATACTCTTTATCTTCGCTTCTCGCACTCTCTCCCACTCACTCCCTCCTCTCCTCCTCCTCTCTCTCACTCTCTCCTCTCTCCTCTCTCTCTCTCTCTCTCTCTCTCTCTCTCTCTCTCTCCTCTCTCTCTCTCTCTCTCTCTCTCTCTCTCTCTCTCCTTCTCTCCTCCTCTCCTCCCTCCTCCTCCCTCCCTCCCTCCCTCCCTCCTCCCTCCCTCCCCTCCCTCCTCCCTCCCTCCCTCCCTCCCCCCTCCCCTCCCTCCCTCCCTCCCTCCCTCCCTCCCTCCCCTCCCTCCCTCCCTCCCTCCCTCGCTCCCTCCCTCCCTCGCTCCCTACTCCCCCCCTCCACCCATTCGTCTCCTTACTCCCGCCCCCTCATTACATTCTCGGCGTCATTCCTCCCCGTTCTCCATGTCTTCGTTCCTTCATTGCTCCCCACCCCACCTTTCAATGGCCGTGAAAAAGAAATGAGCAGAATTGTAAGGTTGGTTCATTGTGTTGAGATTGCACTTCCGTACCGTAGCTTGATGCGGTACCGTATTCTCCCGGACAAATCACCCCCCCATGATTGAGCACCCCCGGGTAGCTTCTGCGGGGTGGGTGCTATGGGCGTATTCCTATCCTCCTATCAAGAAAACCTCTTATCAAGCTCACACTGAAAAATTCCCTAAACCCAAAATCTCTCGCTACTTTCACCAGGCAAAATGTGCATTCTTGATAGGAGGTTTCTTGATAGGAGGCCGTAGGAATACGCCCTATGTGCGACCTCGTTTCCACTATACCCCCCTTTTTGTATGATTTTCTATAACACCCCCCTTTTCATACAGATTCTTTATTTTATTTGTTAACGAGTAGGTGCAAGTATCGCGAAAATCCCTCCCTCGATAAAAATTCGAGGTTCTTTCACTTCGAATCTGCCGAGATTCCCTCCCGCCCACCGTTTCGCTATCGCCACGCGCTGGCGAATCTTCCGATGCAAGTGGCCAGACAGGTGCCACATGGCAATTTCGAGGGGTGTGATGACGTTCGCGTCGAAACTCCCATTCGCGCCTCAACATGTTAAAGCCAGCAGCTAAAATAATGACCCCCCCTTCTAGTTGGGCCTAACTTGAAGTCTCTAGTCTTTGTAATATTTTGGGAAGTTGGAAGTGTGGTGAGAATTTTTTTTCCCACCTCCGAACGAGTTGCGAACTGAACCAGGAACAAGAGCAGTTCTTCCTCATATCTGATTGGCAGCTAGTTTCGCCCAAATGTACATGTGCGATTTTGGCGCAAGGATGAGCAACGTGCAATGTTGATCTCACAGGCGCTGCAACTTCACCAAAACCACATCTATCAACACTACAGGCAAAGTTCCAAGCAGAAACATCTACGAGATGAAAGTGGAAGAGCGTAGACATGGTGAGAAGCTGATAAATTGTGCTGCCTTGGACTTGGGGCCTGACGGAGGGGCAACAAGGAGGGATAGAGAGAAAAACTAGAAAGCATGACGCCCAAGAGGATGATGAACATGGTTACGAACGGAGTGAAATAGGGGCGATCAAAGTTAGGAATAGTGCCCTGTCGACGGAGTTGTTGGCGTGAGGGTAGGGAGGGAGACGGGAAAGGAAGGGATGAGGGTAGCGGGGACAGCGAGGGCTCTGGGAAGGAAGGGGGGTGATAACGCTGGCGGGCGGGAAGCGGAAACATCAAAGGCGACGAGAGGGCAAGGAAGCGGAGACTGCGAAGGCGACGAAAGGGCGACGGGAAGTGGAGATAGCGAGGGCGTAGGCGAGGGAGTGGG